TTTTTTTTTTTTTTGCTCTCACACTTTATGCGCGATCTCACGCTTGAAATATAAATAAAAAATTTTTTTTTTGTATTTAATTTTTTTTTGAGAATATATTCATACAAATATTAAAAAAATGATATATACTATATTTCCGATTTTTTATTTCTTCATTGAGTGGGTATATATATATATATATATATATATATATATATATATATATATATATATATATATATATATATATATATATATATATATTAGTCCATTTTTTTTACCGATTTTATTTAAGAAAAAATCTAATTATTTTCCAAAAGTTCCACTTATAATATTAATATTATTATATTCTTTTTATCTCATAGATGATTAGGATCATGAAACTTCCAAATTTGATCCGAAATATTCCAATTTTGAAAAATGTATATTAATATATTTGAGTTAGAATACTTGAAAAGAATATCAAAATAAATTTGATTTGCGCATTATTCCATGTAGCTATTTATAAAAGGGGTTTTTGTGAATAAGTCTCCAACCAAGCATGTTTATTATTTTAGGTTTAGGGACTATATCTCTTTCACCAATAAACTCATCTCTTTAATATTTATTATAAATAAAGGAAACATTCATGTATATGCCAATATTACCCTCAACCATTTATACCCAATTCTTAATTGTAACCCCAATTTAATCAATTTTGTCCACAAAAATCCAATTTTGACCACAAAATTTCAATTTTGACCTTTTTTTGGAGCATAATTTAATATGTTCCAATTTCATCATTAACTTAATTTAATCTCAATTTGACCCCAAATTTCACAAATTATTCGATTTTGACCCAAAACTTTTTTTTTTCAAATTTTTTTTGCTGTCGGATTCCGGTGTTGACTTTTCAAATTTTTTTTTTGTTTTTTTTTCTTTCGGATTTTTTCGCCCTTTTTTTTTTTTTTTTGCTTTTTTCTTTTCTTTTCTTCCGGATTTTTTCGCCGGTTTCCGGCAATCTCCGGCGTTGATTTTTTTTAGTGTATTTTTAAGTTTTTTTTTTATATCCGCCGCTAAATGTTTACCGTAATTGTGCTGTCACTGACAGTAAATTAACATAATTATACTGTCAATGACAGTTAATTAACGTAATTGTACTGCCGTTGACAATACATTTATGTAATTGAGCTGTCGTTGACAGTAAATTAATGTAATATTATTATTATTTTTTTTTTTGTTTTTTTGTTTTTTTTTTTGATTTGTTGACAAGTCAACGTAATTATATTACTGTCGTTGACAGTAAAATAACTGTAAACACGATAATATTACTATCAACAACATCAATATTATTATTTTTTTGGGTTTTTTGTTTTGTTTGAGTTATTCACGGAGTAACGTAATAATATTACTGTCTATTATTGTAATATTACTGTTGTTATAGTAATATTACTGTCACTCACAGTAATATTAATTCTTTTGGTTTTTTATTATGTTTATATTTGTTGAACGGTCAACATAGTAATATTACTCTATTACACAATAATAATGAGTTTGGTTGTGTTAATATTACTGCGCTAGAGGTTAATATAGCACTATTACTGTGTAATCCTGTAGTCTAGTTAAGTTTACTGCGTTTTACAGTGAGATAGTTAATATTTCTGTCAATCACAGCAATATTGTTGTTTATTTGCAAAATAAAGTTTCAGATAGAACGAAATGTAGAAATCAAAATTGAAATATCCAACGCCGGAGACCGGCGTTGACCGCCGGTCAGCGCCGGAATACCGGCGAAAAAATCAGGGTGAAAAAAAAATGTAAAGTCAACGCCCGGCGGGAAAAAAAAAGTTTTTGAAATTTTTTTTTTTTGAAAAAAAAAAGTTTTGTGTCAAAATTGAATAATTTGTGAAATTTGGGATCAAATTGAGGTTAAATAAAGTTAATGATGAAATTGGAGCATATTAAAGTATGAGGGGTTATTTTAGTCCTTTACAAAAATCTGGACCATGTGTACACTTATTAGTAAAAGAGTTTTTTGTCTGAATCTCTTTATGAATAAGTACCCATTGATGGACTTATTTGTAAAGACCCCTTTATAAAAAGGCCCTTTATAAAAAGGCCCTTTATAAAAAGGGATATGAGTCTAATTAGTAATTACACTCTAATTAGAACTCTTAAATTGAAATATAACTATATAATAATAATAATAATAATAATAATAATAATAATAATAATAATAATAATAATAATAATAATAATAATAATAATAATAATAATAATAATAATAATAATAATAATAATAATTCTATAGGATTATTATGTGTACTATCATTTTTTTCTAGTGCAATGCACGTGATATTATTTCAAAAGTAAAAAAGAATAATCAATTTATTTAATATATAATGAGAAAATATAGTACACTAACATAGAAAAAATTAATAATGTAGTATCATAAATAGTACATATTAAGATTTAACAAATCGAATTTCTATCTTTATCTCTTAAGATTTGAGATATATTCATGAAAAATAAGAGATTAATAATTGTTGAAAATTATAATTAAAATTAGTAGAGAAAAAAATATTAAAAATAAATAATTACCGATGTACCATTAGGGTAGAATTCTTCACAGTTTAATTTCGATTTTAATAATTGTTGAAAATTATAGTTAAAAATCAGTAGAAAAAAAAATATTAAAAACAAATAATTACAGAAATACTATTAGGATTTTTAGGGTTCCGGACGTTTCTTTCTATATATAAAATTAGTATATAGAGTTATATATGGATTAAAAGTTCTAACTAGATTACAATTAGACTTAGGTGGTGTTTGCAAATGCTTTTTGAAAGTGATTATGCGGTTTTTTTTACTCATAATCTGTTTTTAGGTGTTTGCAAAATCAACTTTTGATTTTGCTTCTCTTAAAATAATCTGTTTTAAGCTATTTTTTTAAAAGCACCCATAACCCTGCTTTTTCAATTTTAGTTCATTTTCCGAAATATTTGCAAACACCCCCAACTTTTAGAAATAAGCACTTAAAACTAACTTAAATCACAATCACTAACTTCTGCTTTTAAATAATCATTTGCAAACACCACCTTATATGTTAATATATATTGCAATTAGATTCTAATTAGATTCACATACCTTATTATAAATAGGTAATAAAGGAGAGCGAATATAATACTAAAAGCTTAATACAAAGAACAGAAGGAAGATTTTTCTATAAACCCTCTCACGCGCCTCCCCGAAACTCATCTCTCATTCCGCCGCCGCCGCCGCCGCCGCACACGGTTGTGCCTCTCCGTCCTCCCCATGCTCTATCTCCGCCGCCAGAAATTCGAGTCCCCGCCCTTCATGTAAGTATATCCCAGTAATTTATTAACTAGGTTTTCTTAATTTAATCACGATAAAATAGAAATTTTATACAAACACCTTCGTCGATTGGTAGGAAAATCGCAAAACCCCCAAATCGAGTGTTTATATTCAGCAGCAGAAAAAAGAAAAAAAAGAAGCCGTTTACGACGGTGAATATCTCCTCGTCGGCGGTGAATTAGCCGTTTATCGTGGGTGTTTTTTATCATGGGTGATTTGAAGACTAGGGTTTCTGGTAAATCGACTGTTGCTCCGTTGGCTAAGAAGGACTATACTCGAAGCAACGACGACAGGCGCGTAAGACGAAGGATTTCGCGTGATGGAGATCATGTCTCTGAGTCAGAAGATGAAATACTAATTCTGAATGAACGACGTCTCGGAGAAAGGGATACGATAACCGAGCAGAAGTTGACAAAGAAGGAGGAAGAAGAAGAAGAGTCGATTCGGAGATGTGGTGCTATCGAGACATTAAGGAAAGTGTCGAGGCAAGAGTATTTGAAGAAAAGGGAGCGAAAGAAACTAGATGAGCTCAGAGATGATATAGAAGACGAGCCCTACTTATTCGGTGGTGTGAAGATAACCGAAGGAGAGAAACGCGAGCAACGATATAAGAAGGAAGTATACGAGCTTGTTAATAGGAGGACAGAAGAGTTTGATTGTGCAAACGAGTATAGGATGCCCGACGCGTATGACCGGGTCGGTGTCGTGAATCAAGAAAAAAGATTTGCTGTGGCGTTGCAGCGTTACAGGGGGGATCCTGCTGCAGAAGCAAAGATGAACTCGTTCGCCGAACAAGAAGCATGGGAGGAACACCAGATTGGAAAAGCAACTCTTCAGTTTGGATCGAAGGATAGAAAGCGAAAACATGACGATTACGACTTTGTTTTTGAAGACCAGATAGCGTTCCTAAAGGCATCGGTTATGAGTGGTGTAACTGTCGAGCAGGATGCCTCTGTGCTGAAGGAATCGGAATCTACGGCCAAAACAGCATTAGAAAAACTCGAGAGTGAGAGGAAGACGCTGCCAATCTATCCATACAGGGATGAGTTGCTTAAAGCTATCAACGAGCATCAGGTTCTTGTTATTGTCGGAGAGACGGGTTCTGGGAAAACTACGCAGATACCTCAGTACCTCCACGAGGCAGGATTCACAGAGCGAGGAAAGATTGGATGCACCCAACCGCGCCGTGTGGCTGCTATGAGTGTTTCTACTCGAGTTTCTCGAGAAATGGGAGTAAAACTTGGGCATGAGGTCGGCTATTCTATTAGGTTTGAAGACTGTACTTCGGAAAAGACGGTTATTAAGTATATGACGGATGGAATGTTGCTGCGTGAATTCCTCGGAGAACCTGACCTCGCGAGTTACAGTGTTGTGATGGTGGACGAGGCCCATGAAAGAACACTGTCAACAGATATTCTGTTCGGATTGCTTAAGGATATTGGTCGGTTTCGCCCCGATCTCAAATTGCTTATTTCAAGTGCCACTCTTGACGCTGAAAAGTTCAGCGATTATTTTGATTGTGCTCCGATTTTCAAGATACCTGGAAGGAGATTCCCTGTCGAAATTAACTACACTACCGCCCCTGAAGCTGATTACTTGGACGCTGCCGTTGTCACCATTTTGCAAATCCACGTTAACCAGCCACCTGGCGACGGAGACATTCTAGTTTTCCTGACAGGGCAAGAGGAGATTGAAACTGTCCAGGAGATTCTTAAGCACAGGGCTCGTTTATTGGGGCCAAAAATAGCAGAACTCGTCATCTGTCCTATTTACGCAAACTTGCCTACAGAACTGCAGGCTAAAATATTCGAACCCACCCCCGATGGGGCCCGCAAAGTCGTCCTTGCAACAAATATTGCCGAGACTTCACTGACGATTGACGGTATAAAATATGTCGTCGACCCGGGTTTCTCCAAGATGAAGTCTTACAACCCTCGAACGGGTATGGAATCTTTGCTGATCACTCCGATATCGAAAGCATCTGCCGAACAGCGGGCTGGTCGATCCGGAAGAACGGGTCCCGGAAAATGCTTTCGGCTGTATACCGCGTATAATTACTACAACGACATGGACGATAACACTGTACCTGAAATACAGAGGACCAACTTGGCCAATGTAGTGCTTACTCTCAAGAGTCTTGGAATCGATGACTTGCTGAACTTTGACTTTATGGACCCTCCACCATCCGAATCTCTTCTTAAGGCATTGGAACTGCTTTACGCTCTGAGTGCACTCAACAAGCATGGTGAGTTGACGAAACTCGGTAGAAGGATGGCCGAGTTCCCGCTCGACCCTATGCTGTCGAAGATGATTGTTGCTTCTGATAAATACCATTGCTCCGACGAGATCATATCTATCGCAGCAATGCTGTCTGTCGGAAATTCAATCTTTTACCGCCCAAAGGACAAGCAACTCCACGCGGACAATGCTCGCATGAATTTTCACACGGGAAACGTTGGAGATCACATTGCCTTGCTCAAGGTGTACACCTCGTGGAAGGAAGCCAATTTCTCCAGTCAATGGTGCTACGAAAATTATATCCAGGTCAGAAGCATGAAGAGGGCTAGAGATATCCGGGAACAACTTGAGGGGCTTCTAGAAAGAGTCGAGATTGAGTTGACGGCAAATCCGAGTAATAATTTAGACCCAATAAAGAAATCCATAGCTGCGGGGTTTTTCCCGAACTCCGCAAGGCTACAAAAGCACGGGTCTTATAGAACCGTCAAACATCCGCAGACTGTTCATATTCACCCTAGCTCCGGTTTAGCAGAGTCGCTTCCGAGATGGGTTATTTACCATGAGTTAGTTTTAACGAGTAAAGGATACATGCGGCAGCTGACCGAACTTAAACCCGAGTGGTTGGTGGAATTAGCTCCCCACTATTATCAGCTGACGGATATTGAAGATCTTCGATCGAAAGGGTGCTCAAATTATAACAAATGATTATTTTGTAAATATTTCTTGTCCCCTATTTTCTTATTTTTCATCATATCTTTCTTTTGTAATGCAATGTTTGCAAACATTCAAGAAAAGGAAGCTTCTTTGGCTATCTATAGATCAAAATGCTAAAAAGTTGTTTCATCAATTGCTATCTGCCTATTTTTGTTTTCCCTCTGCTAAATGCAACTTTTTTTGTTATTTTTTTTTTCTTTTTCATCGTAAAACGAACAATTAGATCTGGTTCTTGATCGAAAATCGAAGCTTCTCAGCATCCAAAATCCCCATAGAAAAAAATGCCAGTATAAAAGAAATTCTAGATAAGAATCTTAAGCACACAAAAAATCTTTTTAGTGGGGAGTTGCCCGAAAAATATTTCAAATGCATCGAGTTCGAAAACATAGTAGCCATCTAGTTCGAACGAAGCATCGAAAGAAAAGAAAAAAAAATCTTCTGTATTCTGCATTATAATGATCGAAAAGATGACGAACACCTAATAAATAAACTATCTACCACAACTCAATTCTTACAACGTTGTAATCGAAATTCAGGCAACACAAGAACCGAAAAACGAAACCAAAAAAAAACCCTCAATCCATTTCAAGTTCAGGAAGCGGATGCATCAGCATTGTCTCCGATCCAATCTCAGCTAACAAACGGCCACTCGTCGTGTTCGTATACCGATTCAAAGCTCCAAACGAGACGAACCCCGTAACAACAACGAAAACGACATGCCCAACAAAGAGCAAGTTCATTAACACTACACCCCTCCACATATCATCATCAAGCTCACACTTAACATCAGCCCCGCCTTTCGTCACCGACGCCCCGGTGATCTTATCGCACCCTTTCAAACCGAACGCGTCCGTGTACAACGACAACCCCGCCTGCAGGACCCACGTGCCCTTCAAGACGAGACCCGACGACAGCATAAAATCGGCGAAAAATGCCGACGGCCTGATCGACAAGTAGACGCAGCACGCGGAGCAGAGGATCGCTAGCCCGCCAAGAATTCGGTACACCCAGCCGCCGAGGCCGGCGATTCCTCTGCCGGTGAGGTGGAACTCGATCAGAAAGGCAATGCCGGCGAATAAAAAGGCGAGATTCTCGGGGAGTGAGAAAAGATCGAAGCTTTCTCTCAAGACGACGAAGATTAGGAGAGCCCAGAAGATGAAAACGACGAGGGATTGGTGGAGGAAGGAGAATCTGTAGGTGGGGTTTTCGGAGAGTACGAGGAAGATGGAGATGTGGGAGAGTGAAGCGATGGGGAGGAGTACGAGGAGGGTGTAGAGATCGAGGTTTCTCCACTTGGGTTCGGACAAGTACCAGATTCTTGATCTGTAGAGAGATGGGTTTTTGAGGTAGAGGGAGATGGAGCAGAGGAGGCGGCGGATGCCGACGGGGTAGAGGAGGAGGGAGGCGGTCAAATGGGCGGCCAACGAAGCCATTTTTTTTTTCTTGATGAATTGGGAAAATTCTATGATGGAATTGAAATATTCATACTTTGTTTTTGTGACCTGCAATTTTGTGGAAACGAGTCCTGCAAAGTTTGGTTATTTATGTTTTGGCCCATTTAGTATTGGATAATTACAATCAACTCCCGCATAAGTAAGGGTGGGAATCGGAATGGAATTTCCCAAGTCCGCCAATTCCGATATGAGAATATCATAATTTGGACAGTATTTTTCATTCCGATTTTCGATTCTTCCGAATTTATTTGGAACGGAGTTGGAATTGTATATAAAATTAATCGAACATTCCGATTTTAGTTTTGAATATTTCGATGATTTTTTGAAATATATAATATAATTTTATAATATATTTTGTAATTGGATAATATAACTTATGTTAGATTTTATATGAAAAATATAAATGACGAAGGGTCAAATAAATTAAATCCTTAGAAAATATTAATTGATATCAGAAAAACCGAAATTTTATATTGCATTTTTTTAAGGGTGATTAATTGGTTGATTAAATTGAAAATTATGGTTGATTAATTGGCTATTGAAAAACGGGTTGTGCGACTGCAAAGTTTAGTTATTTATGTTATAGCCCCTCTAGTATTGGAGAACTACAGTCAACACCCGCATAAGTGTATGTGTAGTTTCCTTAAATTACGGGTTTTCCCAAGTATACTTTGCCATGTTTTTTTTGTTTGTAATAAAATTACAAAAACTATCAATTATCAAATCCATCAAAGGTCATGAAATGGGATCTTTATCACAAAATTTATTAATATTGTTCTCTAAGCATAGAGCACCTACAATTTTTCAAGCACGACTCTTTTGAAAATTACACTTTTGTCCCATATAAGTCATGGTTGAATGTTCTATAAGTATGAGGCATGGTTGAATGTTCCTAGAACATTCTTTCAAATGCAAATATTAAAGGGTTAAATGCAAATTACAAATTTTTACTATTATCAGTGTTCATATACTTAGGAGTGTGAACGAGCTGAGCTCGCCTCTTTTGGAAGGCTAGAGCTCGAGGTCGAGTCTATTTCGTCGAACTTGAGCTCGTCGAGTTTTTTCTAGTTTGTTTTTTTTTTTGGCTCGAGGTCGAGCTCAAGCTCGAGCTCGAGTCCAAGCTCATTTTGTTTGTTTTTTGGTCCGAGTTCGAGCTTTTTTCGAGTCGGCTCATCGAGCTCACGAGTCGGCTTGACTCGTTTACCACCCCTACATATACCCCATTTATTACAAAGTGAGACAAAGTGGTCCCTCGACTTAACGTTCAACCCTAAAATCTTTAACACCTTTAGTTTCTATAACGTCCAAGCTCATTGTTAGAATTTATTTCGTGCAGAGTAAATTATTTGTGTCAGATTCAGTTTTTCGTTACTGTTGCGTGAAGTGTTGCAACAGTTCGTGAAGCAGTTCGTAAAAACATAATTAAACGAGACACAAATTTAATGTGGTTCGGATACAATTGTACCCTACATCCACGGGGATCTGCAAATAAAATTTACTAATTTTTAGTTTTACGAATACAATAATAGGACTTAATCAAAATACAAAGACTCCCTCTTTGTTGACGCCGTTCTTGTATACTACGCTGAATTATAAATCTTCAATTTGCAGCACGTCCCTTGCTCCGCACGGTTGAACTCCCTTCAACGCTGAATCCCTCAGTCGGCGGATCGATCACCTCCCGAGATCTGTTTAAGCCCCTCTCCCGAAGAACCGATCTTCTTTTTGTATAGAAGAAGCAAACTTGTGATACTCCTTGAATCTTGGTGTCTTCACCACAAAGCCTTGAAGCCGAAATATTTTCTATGAAGATCACGTATCACGATGGAACAATAAAAAAACGAGAGGAAAAATATTTTCTGTGAAAAACTTCTCTCGATCAAAGACGTTCCGGGAGCAGCAAAAATAAGAGCAGAAAAATATATTTTTTCTTCTCCAACAAAAGGGACAGCATACAAAAACGTTGATGCTCCTCTTTTTATACTTCCTTTAGTTGAATAGTAGAGCCCTACAAAAGATAAGAGCCCATTAGGTTAGTTGTAATCTCACGTAAGGAAAATAAGTTGTGTAACAAAGGAAAGTCTTTCTCTAGAAAATTCCTTGTTAACAAAACACCTAGGCAATTAAATAAATTTATGACAAAATAAGAGTTTAAAGAACTAAGGAAACTTCCCTAGCTTTATACACGTTTTTCACACACGTGCTGAAAATCCACAATTAGAATCCTCTCGGATTCTAACAACTATTATCAGTGTTCATATACTTAGGAGTGTGAACGAGCTGAGCTCGCCTCTTTTGGAAGGCTAGAGCTCGAGGTCGAGTCTATTTCGTCGAACTTGAGCTCGTCGAGTTTTTTCTAGTTTGTTTTTTTTTTTTGGCTCGAGGTCGAGCTCAAGCTCGAGCTCGAGTCCAAGCTCATTTTGTTTGTTTTTTGGTCCGAGTTCGAGCTTTTTTCGAGTCGGCTCATCGAGCTCACGAGTCGGCTTGGCTCGTTTACCACCCCTACATATACCCCATTTATTACAAAGTGAGACAAAGTGGTCCCTCGACTTAACGTTCAACCCTAAAATCTCTAAGACCTTTAGTTTCTATAGCGTTATTATCTTTTTACCCTTACATTTAAGTGATATAAATAGGCATTTTTGACTTATTATTTGGCCAAGTTTTTTACGTAGCACTCTGATTACATCGACAAGTGGTTCTACAATATTATGCCATGTAGTGTTTGGACATAAAAAATAAAATGCATGAATTTTGAGAATTAGAATTACGGAAAACATTTTAAATGGAGAATTTTTTGGGTTTGAAAATAGAATTATAAAATTTCAAAAATTTAAAAATAATTTATAAATATTATCCAGAAATAAATGCATAAATTTTGGGTGATATATTTAGGCTAGGAACAAAATTGCAAAATTTTATAAATTTAAAAGCAAATTATAAATAATTTTCATAATATAAGTTTTTTAAGAAATTTTGTAGGTTGTGCAAAATAAAATTAGGGAGAATCATGATAAAACATTGGAGTAAATTGAGCAAGAGAGATAAAGAAAGAGACACATCTTTTATGCACAATCAGAAGGGTATTTTTATCCGAAATTGTCCAATATCTAGTGCAATATTCGGTCGACTTTGAAAGTAGACGGATTCTTAACATGGCTAAACGGTATAAGTCACTTTATTTCTGTCTATAGTACATGTCAACTTTTGTTTAACCCAAGATTAAATGATGAAAATTGATGGAAATAAAACGCTTTTAAAGAATTAAACACGCTTTTAATAAAAATAATAATAATAATAGTAATAAATGAAAGGCAACCACATATAATATTTGTGGCTGTCATCAATCCTTCTCTCCACCCTAACAAAATGGAAAGGAAAAGAAGAAAAAAAACCAGAGGCTCTCACATTAACAACAAGTCTCAAAGATTTGTAGCATTAGAAAACAATATATAATAATAATATAAAGATAAAAAAACCAAATTCAAGAATTCTTCTTCCAAGATAAAAGCTACTTCAGCAACTTATAAGCTAGTTTTGATTTCAATGGCTGCTTCTGCTTTTCTTGGGAGCTGGGGTACTTCCATTGCCGGCGAAGACTACGCCGTGCTGCAGGCAAAGGCGGCGGCGCCGCCGAATGCGAGGGCGGTTAGATGTCAGCCGATGATGAAGAATGTAAATGAAGGGAAAGGTATATTCGCTCCGGCGGTTGTAGTCACGCGCAATATTGTTGGGAAGAAGAGGTTCAACCAGCTTAGAGGGAAAGCCATTGCTCTTCACTCTCAGGTCATATATAATCTCTTAATTCTTTTTGTCCACTTTAATTTTCATTTTCACTCAAAAAAAAAACAAAAAAAAAAAAAAAAAAAAAATCACTTTTAATTATTATCTTTTATTATATTTTGTTTTTAATTTAGTTCGATAAGTGATAATTAATTCGGTAATTCCTATCAAATTGTGTTTATCGTTGGGTGAGTGTAACTTTGCGTAAACGTTTAGAAAGTACTTAACAAGATTTTCAAGGGGTGTGAATTCAAACTCGTATTTTCAAGATTTACATCGCTCGTGTGATTTGCATGTTGCAAGAGAGTTTTAGTTTTAGGTTTACTTTTCTTTTTCCTTAATGTTTAAAACTTACATTTAGAATAAATGATACTTCCACTATACTAGTTTATGCCATTTTTTTCTTGATGGCTTCATGCACATATATATATTTTTTTGTTAAATTACGGCCACCTCCCCGAGTAAATGTCAAATTATGAAAAAATCTCTTATGGTACGATAATTACAACCATCCTCAACTATGAATCTTTTTATACGTTTCATCCTTACGGTGTCAAATTTAGTGAAATTTTCTAAATTATGTGGAATATTCTCCAGTCCGTGCCCGTTTTACCCCGTTTGTTCGAACTCCACATTTTGAAACTAGATGATCATAGTATGTGTCTTTTAGCTTGTAAATATCAGATTTTGATGCATCAGAAACTGCATTTTTGTACTAAACGAGTACAAACTAGAGAACATTCGATAAAATCTAGAAGATTATGTCGAATTTGACACTATATAGGGCGGACGTGTAAAATTATTCATAGTTGAGGGGTGATTGTAATTACCCAAGCAAGATAAATTTTTCGTAATTTGACCTTACCGGGGTGGCCATAATCTACCCATTTTCTTTTTGATATATATCGATTGTAGGAAAGACATATAAATGACTATTTTACCCATTCTTGATATTTTGAAAGTACATTTGGAATAAATGATAGTAACAGATAACATTTTCTGCAACACCTAACATTATCATATACTATGAAAAAACTATTCCTCTGTGAGTTGTACATGTTTCCACCTAACATATATTTTATCTAATTTTCCCATAGAATCATCACTTATTTATCTAACTGTTTAATTTCCCCACCCTAAATTCAGGTGATCACGGAGTTCTGTAAATCGATAGGAGCAGACTCAAAGCAACGACAAGGGCTCATTCGACTCGCAAAGAAAAACGGAGAGAAACTCGGATTTCTTGCTTGATCTCGGTATATATAGGTTTTTAAAGATTGTACCGATTAACATTCAGAAGCATATTTTTGATTCATTAGTTCAAAACTTTTTGTCAATTCTTCAGTATACATCTGATTAGACAAAATAAATAGTTAAAGAGCACAAAACTAATACCGGAAATTCACGTCAAAATTGTGGTCCGGTAAAACATAGAAGTTGTCGACAAAATCATGTGAGGAGCATCACACACTGTATCGACCGCTCGACTTTTTACTCCTGGCGTCGTCCTGCAAAAATCCAGGATAAAAAGAATTAGTTAATAAAGAAAATGATCTTAGGAATGAAGGCCTAACGGAGAAGACACTAATTATAGTATCAACAAAAACGTACGTGAAAGCTGTAAGAGATTTTGTCCGGAACATCGATAATCTCCTTCCACTTCCTTCCTATGCCCATCTACAGAAGCATAAATCAAATAATCAAAAAAAAAATTAAATAAATAAAATGAAATATTGAAAAAATAAATTGTGAAATAGTAAGATCTTTACCTGAACAGCTTCATTGGCTGCAGTCTTGGTCCATAACGAGACTTTGTCTTGCCTTTGGCGCACACTAGCAACCACTCCACAAAGCTCATCGCCCTCATCGAACTGCTCCCCGATTAGAGCCATTAACTACCCATAAACAACCATAAATTAATTAACAAATAAATGACTTCGTTAACAAAAAAATTAAAAAAATCGAGAATAAGAGATTCAGTAACAAGTGAAGTAACGGTTGTCCTTACAGTTTCAAGCCACATATTGTCCATATCAGCCTTTCTGTTGCTATTGACAGTCCACTTTCCTCCATTGGCACACTCGGGGTCTTCCCATTTAGGCTCCACTCCAGCTCTGAATAAGTGAAAGTCGGCATTTCCTGTAAACTTGCTTGGTCTGAATATCTGATCGTATAAACTGCAAATTGAGACCATCGTTTTACTACATCTTCCAGTCATATGACATTAAAGATAAAGAGATCGTATAATATTATAAAACAATTACGTGACATTACAAACCAGACAAAATCGTAGAAAATATGTTTACATCTTCTATAGATTATACCTTGCCTAGAAAAACAACTTTCTCCATCACATTCACACCGACAAATTCTCCCAAAAAAAAAATAAAGAAAGAAAAAAAAAGAGAGAACCATGCACATTTCTTGATATAATTCCAAACATTTAATTGAAGAGGTACTAACTAGGAGCTAATTTTAGGTATATAATACTCGTAGTATTATTCAAATGGTATCAATGCAAAAAAGACTTTATAATAGCATATTGTCTTTAGTGATATATATACACACACAATATACATAGATATAGTGGTGGTGGTAAAACGTCCCGATAAATTTTAACGAAGCTACCTATTGCCAAGAAAAAATTTAAATATTCCAAGACCAGTTGAACCTTTTTATTCCCATAGAGAACCTTAATTTGAGGTAAATAGTATAAATATCATCTCAGGAAGAACCAGAACCCAATTATACAGAACGGAGATTCATTATTTTTTGAAAAATTAGGAGCGAAGTTGTAGTCATCGTTTGAGTTGTAATATAACATAAATAGATAATAGATAATCCAGACAACATTATAATACACGTAATAAGCAGGGAAAACCCCAATCTCAGATATTCCACAAAAAACAAAAACCTTGTGAAAATAAGACGATACTTGCTCGGGTTAGAACTTGTGAACAGACAAAATACGCCTGAGAGAATAAGAATTACACACATTTACTCTTGATGAAAAATTCATAAGTTCACTAAAATAATCACTTTATTACATATGTCTAAACTCTTGTCGACATTAAAACCCTCAAAATAATGCTCATTAATTGAGAACTTGAATCACAAATACTTAGATATACGAACGTCTAAATGTGGCGAATATCGAAAACAAAACGAAGAGATCAACATTCAAGTTAAAAATCTTTTATCTAGTCCACTTATTTTCCCCTGCAGTACAAATCAGAGCTATCAAAGCTTCAAGGTTAGGTCTATGTCTGTTTCATCAGGGTTATTAACGTCATTACCTCCGCCCATCACCTCTTCAATGGAGCGTTCTAGTTGCATGATATATGGCTTTGTATAGTCTGTGAAAGAACCCTCTACATAATTTTTCGGAGCTGTTTCTGGAAAACCTCGGTTTGTTGTGCCGAAAGCAAGATCTCTATTACCTGGAATGGATTGTGAAGCAGAAGCACCGAATGCTTTCGGAAACTGGGAATTCGATAGTTTTCTAGATTCTGAAGCATGGATAGGAGGAACTACAGGCCTAATGGGAAAACGGGAATTTTGTGATCCAATAGGTTCTGAGGCAATTAATGGCTCTACGCTTTTTTCAGCAGTATTATTATGAACATTCATTGGCACCGACGAAGAATGAGTGTATTGCGAAGAACTCGAAAATTTTTTTGTAATATTTTTCTGTGACACAGGTCTTCCAAGAAGTGATGCTGGATTAAAAGTTCTGTCCTTATTAAAATGAGTCTGGAAGTGGTTTACGAGGCGTGTGTTGCTAAAGAAAACTTGGTCACATATGCGACAAGCAATTGGTGTTGTACGATCTTGCTCTCTCGCTAAACCTTCGAGTAAAAAGACAAGTTTATGATCTACACTCAACTCGCTCCAAGAGCGGGCCATTGACAATGTAAGATTAATTGAGAAAAATAAGGAGAGAGTTTGAAAAAAATCAAATTTGCAAACATGAGACAAAGTGAATCACAGGGGAGAAGACAAAGGGATGAGGCTTTCTACGAGAGGGGGCACGAATTTATACACACGCACGAAGGGTTCTTGCAACAAATAACACATTGAATGCATTGTGCTACATCCAGTCAAACGTAAAATCTCATTATTGGTATTTGAAAGATAGATTACGATTTATTACGGCATCTCTATTTCTTGCCACAATTACGCTAACACATCTTTATAAATCTCACAGTCATTCAAGACCATAATAACTGTGCCTTAAAAGCAAATAATCCACCCACCAAAATTTAACAAGTAACTATAAAATTTCTGACCTTCTAAAAAACAAAAGAAAAGTTCAAAATTCTACAGAGTTGCTTTAAAACCAAAAAATCATGACCGAGTAATAACAAATTGCTTCTTAATCAGAAATTATTAATTAATTAATTCCACCACAGCCATTCCATCATGACAAACAGGCAATGTTTTTTTATGAAAACGGTTCTCATTTTTTGGGTCGTTTAATTCAGTAGAAATTTAAAAATGTATTTATACATAATCTTTAGTCTGTAAAATTGCTAAATTTAGACGGAAATCCTTACTGTAAATATTACTCCAAAACTAATACATTCTGAAGCATTAAATATAATATAGTCAAGAAAAAGACAACAAAATCAAGTCCCCACAGAAACACACCCTGTCCCTGAATGGCGATTTTCTGTCTCAGAATTCTTAAAGGCCTAATTGAAACTGTAAAAGTACTAACTTGAAAAAATATAGTGACATATATAGGGCTGAAAAATCAAACCAAACTATTTGATACTTGATTCAAGTTGTTCTTTAAAATCCTATTTGAGCTTGATTTGATGACATAACGAACCAAGCATTGAATACATAGCTCGATAAGAAGAAAAATAATAAAATATGTACAAAAAATCAAGCTACTCAAGCTCGATTCATATTCACCTCGATTAAAGTTCGTTTGTGCTCAACTCAATTAGTTATCAAACCAAGCTCAAACACAACTTTGAAAGCTCGATAAAAAAATTCAACAAGTTTGAACAAACAAGTGTTAGCCTCAACTTTATTCCTTTAAACTCCTCTATAATTATGTTTCTACACGGTAAGAAATAGATGACAGGTAGTTTCTAGTAGTGAATCGACCTTAAAAGGAATTTACAATCCTATCACCTAAAAAATAATTTTAAATTCAAGATTGTAACCAATGCACCAAAATCAAAATATAGTGAATCATATCAAGGGAAATTCATAAATACTACCTCCATCCACAATTGCTCGAACTACCTAACTTTTCGTCTAACCTATGATTTCAAATGAAAGAGGTTTCAGATCCTTTGGAATATGATATATATTTCCCTTAGCGACACTTGTACGGAAACGGAAGATCCGTGTAATATGTTTTGCCATACTTTTCTACGTGACCTTTTTTTTCGTATTTCAAATATTCAATTGCATTGTAAAAATAATCTTGCAACCAAATCAAGAGCTTTTTGCTTGGAGCCTTAACATTAATTCTAGTTGAATTTATTTAGTTCGACTACTTATATCTCTCTCTTCTAACAGAGTCAGAAGTTATTCACCCTACCTCTCTCCACTCCATTCTTGATCACATTCTTTCAAACAACTTCAAAAATTACGATTTTCAACATCGATTTTGACGCCTAAATTCAAATTTCTTAACCTAATCGATGCCTGTTAAAGTTCAACGAATCCAAAGGATAAATATCCCACCCCAAACCAGAAACACACCTCCGAATATCCTCTAGAATCCCCCATACACCCTTATCGAAATCGGAACATAGTCCGTGAATTAAATAACACGAACTACGGCAGAACAAACGAAACATTGGCAAAGCAACGAGCATTCAAAGAGTAAAAATATCTTCAACTAAACAATCCATTAAATATCACAGTAATAAAGCTAAGCTACAAAATTCAATCACATAAAGCGAAAAATAATTTAGGGTTTACGTAAAGACATACCACCAGAATTCTTCTACAGTGTCGAAAGTGTAGACTTTGCGAAGAGAAGCGCCCCACGTTGCCCCCTGCTTTGGCTTCGACTGGTTGTCGAACCAAAACGACCACTTCCTCTCCAGCCTGTGCGGCTGCTTCTCGGCCACCTCCGTCGGAAGTTCAACCGCCGCCGCCGCCGCCGCCGCTACTTCAATTGACATCTTAACAAATCAAATCTCCGAATAAAATTGGTCTGAAGAGAGATTTTTCGCTTTACAAAGCGATGCGGGTCGGGTTGATCAAAACTGGGTTTTATTATGCTCGTAGGAATTATAATAATTTAATTAAATTTTGTTTCTTATGGAATTTTATAATAAAAATATAAAAATATAAAATAGACATATATTAAATAAACATGAAATAGAAATATTTTCATAAGCTATATAACAATTCAATAATGAAGCATGATAGGTAAATTTAATTAGATTAAATTATGGGTTAATTAACCCACCCACATTATTTTTAATAGGTCAAATATTGTCCCGTAAGGGATGACCTAGCGGTTGGAGCAAGTGAACTTATATTAATTGACTCAAGTTCAAATTCTATTGTCAAATGGTCGCTATGTCGAACTTTCACACATGGTTAGCCTAGTATGGTTTACAATCTCTCGACCCATTATAAATTGACTAGGAAAATTGTAATTTTGATCCTATATGTTGGTTTCTTTGGGGATCTAGTCCTGTAAGTTGTCATATTTCATTTTACATGTAATAATTATGCAAAATTAGTATTTTTTAGTCTTACTTCACTCGAACTTTGAATTTTAGCCGTCGTTTGTTTAATGACCTACCAAACAAACTCGTAGAAATTTATTTATATGGACACTTAAAAATTATAAATGCTCATCTAATTTGATTTATAGATGAGCCGTCTTACATAATTAAAGTTCTACAAATGGTAAATTAGATGTCGAATTTATAAATTTTCAAGCGTCCATATAAATAAAAGGGTAAATGGCACTTTGCCCCCCGAACTATAGTGACTTTTGCACGTTACCCCCTGAACTAAAAAAATTTACAAATTTTTACCTGAACTCGTAAAATGTTGGCAAGGTGCCACAAATTTGCCGGAAAATTTCAGTTTTTGCCGGAATCACACTCTCATGCGCTGCACATGAGATTTATAAGGGTACAATTGTCAATTCAAATCAAACTTAACCCTAACCCCCTTTTCCCTCAAATTTGGCAACGATTTACCCTCATTTTTTGCTCACTTTTTCCCTCGTTTTTTCATTCCCCTCTTCTATATCATTCCCTCCCAGCTTCTGCAGCTCGTCTATCTTCTGCACTTAAACGATTGCTACAGATATATGTGTATTATCTTTCTATTTCTTTGATATGCATGACCTAATCATCTCACTTATGTATGTGCATGTTTTTGTGTGTATATTGAGACAGCAGATGTTTCCCTCTGAAAAAACAACAACAACAAAATGACTGAGCAATTGAGAGACGAATGAATGTGTAGTCTATTCTTTTTTCTTTGTTCTTTGTTCTTTTTTGTTTTTTCTCTCCAAATGTATTTTTCTCTTTTCTTTGGAGGACCTTTAAATATGCATGGATGGAGGGACCGATGAGATTTGGACGCGGTGGAAAAACAGAGTCGGAATTCATGTGATTCACTGTTTAATTAACTAAATGCTTGACAACATCAATTTAAACTTATATTAGTTTTTTTGCTTGGTTTCGTCTATATTTTGCAAGTTTTTATCTATCTTTTTATAACTCATAAATAAAGAGTTGGAGTTCCAGAAATGGAATTGCAGTTTAAGAATGAACAAGAAAATAAAAATAATAATTTATTTATTGTTTGGATTATTTGATAATCATGAAGACTGATGTGGCTCCTCTATCTTCAGTGCTCAAACGATTGCTGCAAATATTTTTAAAATGAGCAAACAAATGGGGGTAAATTGCTGCCAAAATCAAGGGGAAAAGGGGCTAGGATCAAGGTTGATATGAAGTGACAATTGTACCCTTAAAAATATCATGTGCAATGCATGTGACAGTGATTCCGGCGAAAATTGAACAATTCCGGCAAATTTAAGGCACTGTGCCAACATATCACGAGTTCAGGTAAAATTTTGTAAAAAATAATTGTCCAGGGGGTAACGTGCAAAAGACACCATAGTTTGGGGGGCAAAGTGCCATTTACCCTAAATAAAATGCGCCAAGTTTAATTATCGCGTCATAAAATTATTTTTCCATATAAAAATAAAAAATAAAAAAAAAGTTAGAGGATTAAATTTCTAAATAGAGCAATATAGAGGACCAAAACAACAATTTTTCCAAATAGATTCCATCACATACTTGCTGCACCATTTCAAATTCAAAGATTCAAAGCATGAGTATTCGATGGACACG